TGTTTTATTTTATTTTTGTTTTAGATTCTTATCAACTTTTTTTTTCAAAATGTTTTCTTTTAATTATAAATTCAAAAATTCGGATTACTTTTTAATATCAATTTTCTCTTCACATCCATGTATGCCCCACTCATTAAACCGAGTTTACCTCGTATCACTATTATTAAGAATTTATATCGAAACAAACTGTTCACATTTTTATCAACAGGTAAATTGTTGAAGTTGCAACTGGAATGTAGTTCAAAATAGCTTTAAAGATTGTTATTAATGTGGACTATCTATACGATGATAGTCTAGACTAGTTGCGCTATATAAGTTCAACAAAAATGCATAACCACATACATAGACACAGAATAGATATATATCGAATCGAAATTGCCAACAAAACAGGGAGTTGGATTTATGCAACTGAAGGCGCTGAAAGGCAAACCAAWTGCAAACAAAGAGAAGACAAGAGAGAGGCAGAGAGACAGAGAAAGAGAGAGATAGAGAGAGATAGAGAACAAGAGAGAAGTGACAGTGACAGTTGTGGCGCATGAATTTGATGTGCTTAATTGAAGCGCCTGCCTGCAACAACAATGGGCTGCCACGCCTCCGCCACACGCTGGCCCACTCGTTAAGCAACAGCTGTTGGCCATAATCAGCGTTCGCCCAGTTGGTACGTGCCCCATTGTCGATCGCAGCTCAATCGCAGCTGCAAGCAGCGCATTGACGGCGACTTCCAATCGAATCGCATCGACGCAAGCTATTTTTTTTTCTTCCCTCTCTCTCTCTCTCTCTCTCTCTCTCTCTCTCTCTCTCTCTCTCTGTCTGTCTCTTTTTCTTTTTTGCAGTCAAACACGTTACACATTTCCGTTGCAGCAGCAGCGACAACAACAATAATAATCAAAGCTAAGCCGCTGCACCCCTTAGCGCAAGCCAAGCACTTCTCCCCTTCGCTCCACTAACCGGCAGCCCGCCCCCTTTCATCCCACTTTGTCGATTGGCATTATTCCAACTAAAGTCGCAGTCGCCGTCGCAGTCGCAGTCAACGTCGCCGCTGCTGTTGCTGATAGTTGAGCGCGTTTTATCGCCTAAAGTTGTCGCTTAGCATTTGTTGCTATTATTATTATTGTTGTTGTTGTTGTTGTTGTTGTTGTTGTTGTTGTCACTGTCAGAGTTGGCAAGTGTTAAGTAATTCTTCAAGACATAAGTCACGTACTAACGACTGCAACTGGCAGCTAGCCAGAGCGAGAGAGAAGAAGCGCAAGAAAGAGCGAGAGAGGGAGAGAGAGAGTGCGCTGCGAGAGGAAGTTGAGCGTCTGGCAGGAGCTAAAGACACAACTCCGATTTAAACTGACTCCATTTGTGTCACGTCACATTACAACAACAACAACAACAACAACAACAACAACGACAACTAACATAACAATAGTCAGAGCAACAGCAATATAATTATAATAAATATTTATACAGCTGCAAGTTTTTCTTTGAAATCCCATAATATACAATCTTAGAATTGCAAGCATTAGAACCAACTCTTCAACAAATACAAATATACAATTCTCAAGTAGTTGTTGTTGTTTTTGTTGTGGCTTAGTCAAGTCAAGTGACTTAATATTATATTGCAATTATATAGTCGACTCTAGTCGGAAAGTTCAAATCCATTTCAGCTATAGACTTAAATGTAAATGCAAGCTACAAATTGTACGTTCAATTTCCAGATGAAATAACTATGATAATGGTATGTCAATATATATGGGGAAGTAAAGCGGTTTCAAGTAATCTATAACATAGATCACTGTCCTATGATTCATATATGTATATATAAAGAGAAACCTACCTTATACATATGTATCTATCTATGCATATTCCATATATATCTATATTGTATAGCTACCACATATTATTACTTTATATACCTATCATATGTGGCCATCATATAGCTGCCTCGCATTGATATCTAATTGAAGAGGCAAGATTACTATGATTACTGTTCCTAATTATAATTTCTACATCAATTGACATAAATAAATGTAAATCTATGGGTAATCTCTGTTAAAAATAAATCGATTTCAAATACAATTATAAGAA